TCGATATTTACCACCGTATAGTACTTGACTGTCCGTTGTCAGAACTTACATTGTTTTACTGCATTAGAAGAAGTTGTGGAAACATGTTAGGTGAATAGGAGCCTGTCAATCAGTTTTGAATATCTCTCGGAATTGTTATTGCCGAAAGCTAAATTCTCTCAGATTGTTTACTAAATATGGCTTGATCAAAGAACCCAAAAGCGACGCTTGCTTTACACAGACAAGCTTACGTTGGTGGTCAACAATACGTTGAACTGATGATTGCACAACACTTCACTGAGATAGATGGATTGTCTCCAATATATGTTGGACGGGAGATAATTGTCTCCTCAACCGCGTCCTGGCCTTTTCCACACGATGCCCCATACCAGTCTACACTAGATCGCTACTTAATGACAATCACAGAGGTAAGTTGGAAGATGCAAAGCAGATGATTAAGCTAATATAAGGATTTCACGTTAGTTTCTCATAAATTTTCTTTATCTTTTCCTTAACTCTCAGTCCAAGTATACTTAAATACTTTTGTTTATGTTTTCCAGAAAAAATGGACCAATCTTCTTTAAATGTAATCTTCCAGGCTGGCTTGTATGAGCAGTGGAGGAAAGAACAGTTGCGTGACGCTGAGCGGAAGAGTCTTATAAGAAAGAGAGAGGAACTAAATCAGAACCAACAAAGGAAGGACTCGGTCATGGAAAAAGTTTATAACGAAAGTAACATCGAAGCCCTCACCATTGTACACATGCAGGGGCCGCTCCTTCTCCTCCTGCTGGGACGTGCTGCAACTGGTGTAACTTTTATGTAGAAAAGCTGATATCGAGATTCTTTGCAACCTAGAATGAAAATTAAGTTCACCCTCTCCATTAACTAAATTCAGTGGACCTACGCATCCCCACACTTGGTCTTGTAGATAATTCCACAAGAGTTTATAGCGCAGGTGGTCTTATGAAATGCACCGTAGTTGTATGCACTTTGAAAATAAACTTGAAAACATATGAATATGACTGTGCACTACCAGCATGATTGAACACGAAAATCGCCATAGACTGAGACCACATACAGTAGAGCATCTTCACTTCTTGTCTGAAAATTATTTTGGTCCTAAGGTTTACATTTTTTAAGATGTACATTTCCTGAGAAATCAGAATTCATGATCATTTAACATAGTCGAATCCAAAGAGTAACAGGTATATTGAACTTTGATATTTGCTTCGAATATGGGTAAAAATTCAGTTTCCAAAATCAATGTAAAAATACTTCGGGCGCTTCCGTCTTTCTGCATTAGTATCATCCAAGATAGGGAAAACGCACCTTGGATGGCGGCACTGGTGGGTTTGGTGGATTCAGTTTCAGAGAATATCAGACGAGAACTAGGCCAGACGCCTGAGCCATCCTCCTGGCCAGCTGCGTCCTGCTCGGGCTACCCATAAGCACCAACGCAATCCTCATCGCCCTCTAAGGTACTGGGTTACCTGGATGCCAACGATGATCCGTATCTCTTCACAATTTGTATCTCTGTGCCTAGACTGCCGTACTTAAGAGAGAACGAGTATCTGAAATTGAAACACATCCGTAAAGGCAGTGAACATCCCCTTGGAAGACACACAGTGGAAACAAGAAACGTCTACGGTCTATGAGGAGAAATCGGTGTCCGCAAACCCGCCTAGATCACACTGCTATCATTTATATCGTCCTGCGTGGTATTAGACGATTTGTTCATTGGGGGTAGGGGGGGTCCTTCCAGGACAACTTAGAACAGCACAATAGCAAGCGATCCAAAGTTCAGGAAGGCAGTCACCAAGTGGGAGACCATCCCACACAGCTATACCAACGCCGCCCCCAGAGGACAGTATTCAAATCAATAAGAAAAAACCTGTCCTGGAAAAGTGAAAAAAGGACCTCAAATGAACTGGAGAAAGTTCGTTTGCAGTTGAAGAATGATCCTTATGCCAGGGATTTTCTATTAACCAGCCACTAGCACTTTTTTCCGTTAACTTTCCGATTTCCGTCGTTTTTTCCACGAATTGTCTATGTTCTAGCCCGTCTCGCTCAGACGAAAAGTATCGTTCCTGCTTGACTGGCATTGAGAATATATATGTAAAATGAATATCGAACAACGGAATATAAATAAATTTAATTTAAAAGTATTCAGTATCGCCTTTTAATAAATTGCTTAAGTGTATTGTTTTATTGATGTTGATATTCGTATATACATCTGATATGTTTGTTTACATTGAGCCTTGTGTTCAACTTCTTCACGGCCTCTCTATTTACTCCTGTGTGGACACGCCTGACCAATGAATACATGATAGACAATATTAGATGTCATCATTGCCTGTGGGATCCAAGGGGCGATAGGTACTTCAAAAAAATGTGAAGAGGAAGGCATATACCGACATCTTCTTTGTTTACAATTGACGAAAGTGGAAAGACTGGCGCGCCAGTTCTCTAAGAGTGTGTGACATGGCGCGCTCAAAAAAAAAAAAATAAATAAATTTATGCAATAAAATTACGGAAAAGGCGCTAGTATGACGCACCCTGTATTCTTATTTGCAGTTGTGCCTTGTGGTGCTGTGGTAGGGGTAGCGCTCCCTGTTCCCACAAAGAGGACCTGGGTTCGACGCTTGACTGGTGAGGTACATGTGAATATTGAGGTCCACATATATATATATATATATATATATATATATATATATATATATATATATATATATATATATATATATATATATATATATATATATATTTTTTTTTTTTTTTTTTTATTGGGATTAGCCCACCCGGGCACAGGTCACTGACCCACATCAGGGCCTGGGGGGTGAAAATGTAATAATAATAATAATAGTAATAATAATTAAAATTAAAAAAAAATTATAATAAAATACAAAATTGAAAATTAAATAATAATAATTCATAGTAAATAAAATTTATAATACAAAATACAAAATTAAAAATAAAATAATAATGATAACAATAATAATAATAACAACACTAATAATAATAATAATAATAATGATAATGAACCATAAAGAAATGCAAAATGAAAATATCAAAAGTAAGAAACAATATATGTATGTTGTGTTGTCAAAGTAAGAGAAACAATTTAGACCCTGCAATTGTGTGTAAATGAGGCATCACATCAGCAACCTGGGACTTGGTCACAATTTTCGTGATGCCATATAGCAGCAGGGTCTACCATAAACAACACATTATGCTTCCAATATCTTCCTAGGCAGTAGTACCTCCCTGTTTGGTCGCTGCCAACTACCGACTGCTGGACTGTTAAAGCAAATACCTTAAAATCGCAAAGAAATCTTTTTTTTATTGAACTGATCCTAAATCTCCCCATGACAATAAAAAATCTCTTAGTGTGCCCATTTAGCAAAATTTTTTCTCAAATTCTTCTGCAACCGAAAAACTGGAACGTAAATAATAACATTTAGTAACTCATGCACTGTAAAACAAATGTTAATTAAGAACTCCCCAGTATTGAAGGTGGTTGCATTTACAAGGCTCCTTGCAAGGTTAAACGAGCAATATTCGTATAACTAGACTTAAACGGCATAAAAATAGCGTTAGGACAGGCCAGGAATCCAAAGCTCTGTTCGTTCATATGAGAGATAATAAACATTGCATTGACTGGGATAATGCCTCCTCAATATTACCTTGTAATTCAAATGTCAGTAGGAACATTATAGAATCCAGTCTCATTAAACATACTGAATATGTCAACATTAATTTCAGTAATGGTATGTACAAACTGGATAATTTGGTGATTATCCCTTTCACCGCGTGTCACGCACTTGCCATTTTATTCTGGTTACCTTCAGACGATTTTATTCAGCTTAGGGTAACCTCCCGCTGTGAAAGGGTTAAGAAGATTTGTAACCAGATGAAAGGGTTGGGTAACTATATACTTAATGACTGTATATATTAGCCTTGTCAATAATTACTCTTTAGTCTGTACATGAAAACGCTTGAGAACTTCCCGTTTTCTTTTTCCTCTGTGGATTTCGGTATATACATGGATCACACACACACACACACGCACACACATACACACATATATATATATATATATATATATATATATATATATATATATATATATATATATATATATATATATATATATATATATATATATATATATATATATAGCATCAATCCATTTAACATGCAGACTTCCATATTCAAACAATACCTCATTAGTCGAACCCTGGACCTCTGCGTGTGAACAGGGATCGCTAACACCACGCCACAAGGACAAGAAAAGCAATCCTAGGCTTTTTTTTTTATTCCACACAAAGCCTGTTCTTTTGTCATTGTTAATCAACGTGCACCTCCATTGTGGATTGCTCATGCTAACTATGTGGTCGGAGTAACATTTTACCAAATCCAGCTTAACAAAGACGAATGAACAGGCTTTGTGAGGAATAAAAAAAGTTTAGGATTACTTTTGTTGTCCTTGAATAAAGACGAAAGCTAAGGTGCTCCGTTGCTTCCCTTTTCCCGTGTGATTTTATCAAGATTTATGTTATCCACGTTTTCATTGTGGATCTACATGAATATATATATATATATATATATATATATATATATATATATATATATATATATATATATATATATATATATATATATATCACACAGGAAAAAAACTATTCATATTATTGTGATTTACATGAAAAAAAAAAAAAAAAAAAAAAAAAAATATATATATATATATATATATATATATATATATATATATATATATATATATATATATATATATATATATATATATATATATATATATATATATATATATATATACCTGTATATATATTCTGGTGGTGAAAAATTATTAAATTGAACGTTGACATATACTACTGAACCAATCAGGTTATCAGCCAACCTTGACGTCATGAAAAGTTGCCAGTTTGTGCAAGGCGCCGCTGCCTTGTTGATTATAATACCCAAGGGAGCTGCCGTGCCGGGAACATTCATTTGGTGCTGTCCTTACGAAAACCTTCCTTGCTCCACTGAAATACGTAAGTGAACAGCAGCACTTTACTGTGAAAATATTGATATCAAACAGACTGTGACCAGCTATTAACCGTATACTGTATACAGGGTAATTCTTTTATAATCTGGTTATCCATTGAATCTGAGTTGTAAGATATCCGCAATAATCAACATTAGAATAAGCTTCAGTAATTCGTTCTTCAAGCTTGTATCTAACAGTAGCTGATAGCAAACAGTACGACTTAATGGAAATGATTTACATGCGGTAAAATGTCCTCTATTTCATTTAAGAAGTCATTTACCAAGAGAAAAGGGTCACATTATTACAAAATTAGGGTTGATAAGGTTAGTTTTCGTAAGGTTAGGTTAATTTAGTTTAGGCTAGTTTTGGTGTGATGTTATACACACACACACACTTACACATATATACATAGAGAGAGAGAGAGAGAGAGAGAGAGAGAGAGAGAGAGAGAGAGAGAAACAGTATCCCACTACTCGGGAATCGAGCCCGGGACCTCTGCATGTGAACAAGAATCGTTACCATCAAGCCACAAAGACAACAAAAGCAATCCTAGGCTTTTTTTTTATTCCACACAAAGCCTGTTCATTCGTCTTTGTTAAGCTGGATTTGGTAAAATGCTACCCCGACCACAGAGTTGGCACGAGCAATCCCCAAAGGAGGTACACGTTGATTAACAAAGACGAATGAACAGGCTTTGTGTGGAATAAAAAAAAGCCTAGTATTGCTTTTGTTGTTTTTGTGGCTTGATGGTAACGATCCCTCATCACAAGCAGAGGTCCAGGGTTCGATTCTCGACTAGTGAGGTGTTGTTTGTATATGGAAGTCCGCATGATGTATGGACTGATATATATTGGAAAAAGTTCATGTTGGATTACTGTTTTTTAACCTGAGACGTGAGCGTTCTGATCTTCAAGCTAAGATAGACCACAAATTGGCACTCCTTATTAGAAACCAGTGATTGGACTAAGGATGCCAATCACAACTGTGTAGTGAATCTCTCCTCTAAACAACTAGACAGTGATACCTTGTGTGCCCTTGGCTATGGTTTAAGTTTTGATGGCTCTAACAAGGGAGTCGACAGTGTTGACATAGCCAAAGCATTTTGCAATTTGTAGAAATTCAGTAATTTGACAAGTGAAGACGTGAACATGTGTAAAGGTGTTGTGTATGCATCTATGTCCAAGCCTTGTATTCCAAACTGTCCAGAAAGATTCACCAAAGCAATCCAAGCCCATAAGAAAAATAAGGATCTACATGTCACTAAAGCAGATAAAGCCAACATCTTACTTCAACGTCCCCTCCACTGCCATACATGTACGGTGTAATCAAGACCCACAAGCCTAATAACCCAGCAAGACCAATCATTAGCTCAGTTGGGTCAATCTCTAATAAACTATCTAAATGGTTAGTTTCTTTACTAAATCCCCTAGTTGGCAACATTTCTAACTCTAATATCAAGGATAATATGGATTTGGTTGACAAACGCAATAACTTACACATTAATTATGATTTTAAACTGGTCAGTTTTGAAGTAACATCACTCTTTACAAAGGTCCCAGTTGATGATTTACTAGAATACCTCATAGATTCCCTGGATAATACTTCATTGCCCGTCTCGAAAGACAACTTCATCGAACTCATCAAACTATGTATTAAGGATTGTAAATTTGAATTCAATGCAGAATATTATGCTCAAAAATGTGGTATGGCAATGGGTAATCCACTCTCACCTGTATTAAGCAACCTATATATGGAATTCTTTGAAAAGAAACTATTAAGTAATATTTTACCACCTTAAGCAGTCTGGTTTAGATATGTTGGTGATGTATTATGTCTCTGGCCAAGTAATGAGGACCTAAAAGCTTTCCTGCCACAACTTAACAACTTAGCCCCTTCGATCAAATTCACTGTGGAATTAGAGTAAGACTGTAAATTGCCATTCCTAGACTGTCTGATACACAGAATAGGTAACACCTTTAAGTTCAGTATTTGTAGAAAACCTACTAATGTGTGTTCATACATTCAATATTATTCTGCCCACCGTAATAGAGTCAAACAGTCAGTATTTTCAGCAATGTTCTTACGTGCTTTGAGAATTTGCAGCCCGGAATTCATTGATGAGGAATATGAATATATCTATAATATTGGCTCAAACCTTAAATACCCTAGATCTTTCATAGACAAATGCCTAAACATTACTAAGAAAACTTTTTATAGAACTGATCCCAAGCCCACCCATGACCATAAGAATATCTTAATATTACCATTTCACAAAAATTTCTCACACATTCCTTTATAACTAAAAACCTGGAACGTCAATGTGGCATTTAAAAACTCATGCACTGTTAAACAAATGTTAATCAAGAACTCCCCCAACAATACAATTGGTTGCATTTATAAAGTTCCTTGCAAGGAATGTAATATGTTTTACTTAGGCCAGACAGGTAAAGATCTTGTAACTAGACTTAAACAACATAAATATAGTGTTAGGACAGGCCAGGAATCCAATGCTCTGTTTGTTCATTTGAGGGAAAACAAGCATTGCATTGACTGGGATAATGCCTCCTCAATATTACCTTGTAATTCAATTGATAGTAGGAACATCATAGAATCTAGTCTCATTAAACATACCGAAGCATTGAATATGAATTTGAGTAATGGCATGTACAAACTGGACAATTTTGTAATTAAGAAGATTTGTAACCAGGTGAGAAGGTTGGGTCACCTTACCCTCTGACATGACTACCGACCATTGCGGTGCTATTTAAAGATTAGTAGGGTCATTACCTAATACCTGACCATTGTGGATCTGGTCTCACCCTCCTCTGTATATATACACCTTGTTTTGTACTTCTCTTTAGTCTATAAATTTAAGGTATATAGAAAGCCCACACAGGTAGACAGTTTCATTCACTTTTTATCCAATCACCTTGAGTCTACCAAAATGTCAGTTTTTTCTGCTATGTTCCTACGATGTCTGCGTATTTGTGACTCTGAATTTATTGACGACGAATTTAAACACACTCGTTCTATTGCACAGAAACTTGGGTACCCTTCTGTGTTTGTTGATCGTTGCTTTAAAAGGGCTAAAAAATCCTTTCATTCCTCTGTAACCAGACAAGTTCCTACACTTAAGAATATTTTGACTCTGCCCTATCGTGATGAATTTGTCCCTTTAGTTCGGTCCCTCAAGCTTCTAAATATTAATGTTGTTTTCAAGTATGACTCAACCATTACCAATATGTTAATAAGGAATAGCCCAAGTTTGAATGTAAATGGAAGTGTTTATTGTATTCCATGTAGCCAATGTAATTGTAATTATGTAGGTCAGACAGGAAAAACACTGCAGCTCAGAATCAAACAACATAAGTATAATATCAGAACTGCATCTGAAAGCAGTGCCTTGTTCGTTCATGTTAGGAATAATAATCACCCCATTGCTTGGGAAAAAAGCTTAGAAGTATTCAAATCATCTTGTGTCACAGAAAGACTTCTGGTTGAAGCTAGTTTGATTAAGGAATTAAAATCAATAAACCTTAGTGATGGTCAGTTCAAAACTGATAATATGTTACATAAATTTATTTGTCAGTGGCCCAAGGTTAAAACTGCTTTGAAAACCTTTGATCTTGATGTATGACAGTTATTTTGTGGGTCCCTTTTTTCTGACCTGACCTGTCTAGTCACGTCACCACCCTTCTCTTAAGCTCCTCTACGGTTGTGTTGGTGTGGGGATTAGTGGATGTCATCATTATGACCTGACCTCATGTTTTTAGGTCACCCTGTATATTTAAGCCTCTCTCTGTCCATGTAATCCAGTTGCCTCTGAAGATGTCTTGAATAAAGACGAAAGCTAAGGTACTCCGTTGTTTCCATTTTCCCGTGTGATTTTATCAAGATTTATCTTATCCACGTTTTCATTGTGGATTTACATGATAATATATATATATATATATATATATATATATATATATATATATATATATATATATATATATATATATGCCCATAACCACAAGGAAAGAAAACACGAAGTTCCCAAGCGCTTTCATGTAATTCACATCTTCAGGGGTGAGTACAGACTAAAGAGAAGTACAAAACAAGGTGTATATATACAGAGGAGGGTGAGACCAGGTCCACAATGGTCAGGTATAGGTAATGAATGACCCTACTAATCTTCATAAAAGAACCTCAGTGGGAGGTAGTCAGGTCAGAGGGTAAGCTGACCCAGCCTTATCACCTGGATACAAATCATCTTAATTACGAAATTATCCAATTTGTATATACCATTACTCAAATTCATGATGACGGATTCGGTCTGTTAAATGAGACTGGATTCTATAATATTCCTACTGTCAATTGAATTACAAGGTAATATTGAGGAGGCATTATCCCAGTCAATGCAATGCTTATTATCCCTCAAATGAACAAACAGAGCATTGGATTCCTGGCCTGTCCTAATACTATATTTATGTTGTTTAAGTCTAGTTACAAGATCTTTACCTGTCTGGCCTAAGTAAAACATATTACATTCCTTGCAAGGAACTTTATAAATGCAGCCACTTGTATTGTTGGGGGAGTTCTTGATTAACATTTGTTTATCAGTGCATGAGTTTTTAAATGCCACTTTGACGTTCCATATTTTTTTGTTATAAAGGAATTTGAGATAAATTTTTGTGAAATGGTAATACTAAGAGATTCTTATGGTCATGGGTGGGCTTGGGATCGGTTCTATAAAAAGATTTCTTAGTAATGTTCAGGCATTTGTTTATAAAAGATCTAGGGTATTTAAGGTTTGAGCCAATATTATAGATATATTTATATTCCTCATCAATGAATTCCGGGCTGCAAATTCTCAAAGCACGTAAGAACATTGTTGAAAATACTGACTGTTTGACTCTATTACGGTGGGCAGAATAATATTGAATGTATGAACACACATTAGTAGGTTTTCTACAAATACTGAACTTAAAGGTGTTACCTATTCTGTGGATCAGACTGTCTAGG